ATGCATATCTAGATATGAAAAATACCTGTTCATCTATGTAGGCATATTTTTTGTCTATTTTATTGGGTTCTTACACCTCTACCTCTCTTCCTACCCTAGTCCCTTCCAGTCCCCCAACACTAGGTAGGAGAGAAAGAAGGTTAGAGGAGAAAGAGGGGATTGAGGCCTTTTTAGGCTACTTCCTGCTGATTAGGGGCACGGAGTTCCTTGGGGCAATTCCAATCTTCGTCTTGTCAGGATATCTCCAACTTCTTGTCTCTTTTCTTTTGACCACTTGACAAATCAGCAACAGCACCAGGAGGGGCAGGAACCAGCAGGAGGAACAGCTGCACCTCCTCTCTTGGGGCTCTGGTCTTTTTGTTACCCTCTCTACAGTCCCCAGAATTAAACTGTCTTCATCTGGCAGAGACGTGATTCTGCCAGCGCATGCATGAGGCAAACTGGTCTGCTGCTGTGGACAATCTGAAGCAGCCCCATATCCCACACCTGGGATTAAAACAAAAACATATTCATAGAGCATAACACCTTCACATGGATTCCAGGGATGAAACTCAGGCTACCCACCAGGCTGTAAAGAAGCAGTTCTTAACCTGTGGGTTGGGACCCCTTGGAGGCCAAACAATGCTTTCACAGGAGTCACCTAAGACCGTTGAAAAACACAGATATTTATATTACAATTCACAATAGTAGCAAAATTACAGTTATAAAGTAGCAAAAATAATTTTAGGTTTGGGAGTCACCACAACATGAGGAGCTGTGTTAAATGGTCACAGCATTAGGAAGGTTGAGAACCGGTACTCTAGAGTCAAGAACCTTTACCTGTGGAGCCATCTTGCTAGGCTTCCCTTAAAAAATAAGTATATTAAAAGAATAACTATATTATGACTGGTGGTGGTGGCACACAGCTTTAATCCCAGCAATCAGGAGGCAGATCTCTGAGTTCAAGGCCAGTGTGGATTACAGAGTGTGTTCTAGGACAGCAAGGGCTATCCCAAGAAACCATGTCTCAGAAAGCCAAAAGCAAAAAAACAACAACAACAACAACAACAACAACAAAAAACAACCCAACACTGTATTATATGCCCCCAAGCTCCTTATTTTAAATATAATTTTATGCCACTTAGCAAGTGTGCAGTCATGGTGACTAGCATAGGCACGTACCTTAATTTCTCAGCATTTTTCTTAATGTTCTGTAGCCATGATGGTAATCAGGGCATACTCAGGGGTCTTGAGGACTGTGAGGCACAGGGTCAGAGCAGAACCTTTGTTGAAACTGGCAGAAGAGTAACTGAAGCTCTGCCTGGTGGTTCACTGCATTCAAATCCAGCTAGTAGGCAAATCATTGCCACTGCGTCTAGACCCCAAAATCTTTTCCTGTTCCGTTACTATTAGAGTTTACTCTCTTGTCGTCTCCAGGGCTACACAGATTGTTTCCAGGCTCTTCCTGAGAACAGTGGTTCAACATAGCATTCTCGGACATATTTCCCAGTGTGGTTGTGTAGAATGTCTCTTGCACAAGTAGCTAAAAGAGTGGAATTGCTGAGCTGTATTGTGAAGTTAACAAGTAAGGCCAGCACGTTGTGCTTAAAGGCGTGCAACACCATTCCTGGCTGCAAGTTGTTTCTTTTTTTGAAAGGGGTTCAAGACAGGGATCCTCTGTGTAGCCTTTGGCTGCCTTGGAACTCATTCTGCAGACCAGGCTCGCCTCAAACGCACAGAGATCCTCCTGCCTCTACCTCCCAAGTGCTAGGGTTAAAGAGCTGCATATCACCACTGCCAGCTACTCATTGTTTCTTAAAGAACTCAACCAGAAATGAGGGCCTACACCTATGATCCCAGCACTTGGGAGGTGTGGTAGAAGGATCAGAAGTTCAAGGTCATCCTCCACTATAGGGTTACACGAGACCCTGCCTCAAAGAAAAAAAAAAATGATAAAAATAAAAGGATTTATTTAATAGCTTGTGCCTCAAAACAAGCAGTCAAACATGGTGGCCCGTACATGTAACATTCAGGAGGCAAAGTAGGCAGATCTCTTTGAGTTCCAAGCTAGCCAGGGTCACACAGACCCTGCTGGAATGTGTGTGTGTGTGTGTGTGTGTGTGTGTGTGTGTGTGTGTGTGTGT